GAATGATCACAAAACCCTTAGAAAAGCCTGGCCCATTCCACACTGTTCCCTCATTTTCATTTGCCCTTACTTGTTCTGATTATCTCACAGCAGTAGCCATACAATCTGGTTCTCACGAGTATCCCAAACCGTGGACGAGATGGGGTGCTTACTGGCTGGCGTGCTCACTTACTTTGAGGCCCAGAAATGGAGAAGCTGCCGTTTGGTGGCAGGACAAGGACAGGGGCTCATGTCTTAGGGTTCTTCTACTGCACCCTGGGTTCCCGGGGTGATGCTCACATTGCTCAGCACATGCCACTCTGCCATGGGTTTTGGAATCATCTCCTCCAGATGTGTTGGGTGTGTTTCCTTGCAGATGTTGGGTTTTGAGTCCCACCCTTTCTAGGTATCTCTGAAATTCTCATTTGTGAAGTCATCACATTTGAATGAGACCATATCTAGCCCAACAACTTGGGGCAGTGTATTACTTAAGACTGAAGAAAGCCTAGATTTGAACACAGATTGTGTCTAAAACAGATGTTTTCCTGTCCCTCTACCCCAGTTATTTCCCTATGTTTATGAGAAAGGTCAGTCTTCTGTGGCCGGTAGTGCATTCCTGGTGTTATTTGAATAGTTCACATACACGCAGGCCTTAATGACCCCTGAGAGCTCTGCCCACAGCTGGAGTTTAAGTAATCAGTAGCATCACGTGTTCAGTTTGGGGCTCAAGTGTGCTCGGCTCCAAACGCTGTCTTTATAAAGCCAGAAATTCCCTTCGGAGTATGTAGGACTCACAGAGTCTACCTGGGTTTAAACTTTGCTTTTCTCTTCACTCATAACAGTCAATTATGAATGGGATCATTATCCTCTCTAAAAGTTTACCCCTCTTGTGCTTTTGAATTTCATTCCAAATTAATTTGCTCTGGATTATTAAATATAATGAGCTAGTTCATGATTCTAATAAAATGAACGTGGAATGTGGAAATTTAAAATAGGGAGACATTCTTTTTGTTTCTTAGGCCAAAGGCTTTTTAGCCCAGGTGTGACTAGGGCATTATTTTTGTTCAGCTTTTGAGCATAAGTGCTTCCAAATTACACCTCAGGGAAAAGTGTAAGTTGGGGTGGGGTGGGGGGTGATTGAAAATTAAAAAGAATATAAGCCAGGCATGATGGCACCTGCCTGCAGTCCCCGCCACTTGGGAGGTTGAGGAAGGAGGATAAAATATATGTACATATTTTAAGGTTGTTAAAATGGCAAATTTTATGTTATATATATTTTACCACAATAAAAAAGTAAAAAAATATATCATATAATTATATGTAGTATATATTGTATTATACATATTATATAATATATAAATATATTTTATGTTATAATGTAATGTATTGTATATAATTTAATATAATGTAAATATATATAATTTTATATTATAGATTATATAGTATATACATTTACATATATGTACATATTTATAATTTATGTTATATATTTATATTTAATATATTACATATATGTAATATATTTGTGTTACATATGTCCTATATAACCTAGATAATATATATTATATATTTTTTTATATATATATTTTAAGAGTCCCCCCCAAACATGAAGCTTATTCTTCTCACTAGTTTAGATGGACACTGTCCTAAGATTGCTATTGGATAGCACTAATCTAATATTGATGCCAAGTACACTAGATTCTAGCAGTTTTCAATAATTAATAATCACCTTGTGATTTCTCAACTCCCTTTAGACCTGTTTGCCTCAGTGATGTGAGTTGGGGAGCCACGTTACTATTATTATTATTATTATTTTCCTTTTTGAGACAGGGTCTGGCTCTGTTGCCCAGGCTGGAGTGCAGTGGTGTAATCATGGCTCACTGCAGCCCCAAACTCCTAGGCTCAAGTGATCCTCCCACCTCAGCCTCTTCCAGTAGCTGGGACTACAGGTGCACGCTACAGTGCTCTGCTAATTTTTGTATTTTTTTGTGGAGATGGGGTTTCACCATGTTGCCCAGGCTCACATAACTATTTAAATGGCTACATGTAGGGGATTGTAATCTTCTGTAGTAAGCCTGGTCCCTTGAATTGCCCATGCAGGTGTGAGTCCCTGCAGTGCTTCAGGGTGTCTGGATGAGACAGCCCACTGGGCTAGAGCTGCGTGCAATGCTTACATGTGTGCAATTGTTTTCTTGGACCAGTTTTCAGCTACAACACAGATTCCCGCCAGACGTGTGCCAACAACAGACACCAGTGCTCGGTGCACGCAGAGTGCAGGGACTACGCCACGGGCTTCTGCTGCAGCTGTGTCGCTGGCTATACAGGCAATGGCAGGCAATGTGTTGCAGAAGGTAATTTGCTTTTCTTTGTTCATTTCATGCGGGAGAAGGCGGAGCGGAGTTTTTGTTTTGGTGCTCGTTTTCCATGTTGCCTTTACCCACATCTCCGGACGTGTGTAGTGTTTTTCTTAGGGCAGCCATACGTGGTCTCTCTTTCCTCATTTTCTCACATATTCTCTACAGGCATCCCCCAGGAAGGCCCATTTTTCAAATATGGCAAAGTCTTTCTTTCCTTTGCTATTTCTCCATCTCAGGGGACAGCCACTGGGAGCCCATCTTCACAACCGCCTGGCGCATGGCCACAAAGGCCGTGGTGTTAAAATTATGCAGCCTGGACAAAGAATTGTTTATACCCCTCACTTTCCTCCATTTCTTTGAAACCTCTTTCATGTCTTTTTCTCTTAGAGTCTCTCTAATTTTATGTGGTGTTGCTTACGGAACCATCTTTTTTTTTTTCTTGAGACAGAGTCTCACTCTGTCACCCAGGCTGGAGTGCAGTGGCGCAACCTTGGCTCATGGCAGCCTTCATCTCCTGGGTTCAAGTGATTCTCCTGCCTCAGCCTCCTGAGTAGCTGGAATTACAGGTGCACACCACCACACCCAGCTAATTTTTGTATTTTTCATAGAGACGGGGTTTCTCCATGTTGGCTAGACTGGTCTCGAACTCCTGACCTCAAATGATCTGCCTGCCTCGACCTTCCAAAATGTTGGGATTACAGGCGTGAGCCACCACGCCAGGCCAGACCTATCTTAATGGTTGTTAAGCCCCAGCAGGGCCACAGAAGGCTGGCTTAGACCAAAGTCTGTAGCAGGTAAAGTTTATTCCATCATCCTCTCCCTCCTGTCCCTCTTTCCTGGTGCTCCCGAAGTCATAGCGTGGTTATGATTGAGCATCAGAGATGCACCATAGTTAATGCTGGGGTGCCAATCCCATTGTGTGGCCAAATGGATTCGGCTACGGGCCAATGTCCGTTCTAAACTCTGCCCTCAAAAGGATCAACTGGTTTGGATGCTTGCAGATGGTCACGAGAATCCTTTCTGTGCAAATCTGGGGATCCTGGTAACATTCACTCAGTGCACCATCTGGGAGGCCGGAATTGGTTTTAATTCCAGAATTAACACAAAAATGGCAAAAACCCCACCATGTTAAACGCTCATCCCTTCAGATGCCGTCTTAGTCACTTTTCTGATGCTTCTAATAGAATACCTGAAACTGAGTAATTTATAAAGAAAAAGAATTCATTTCTTACAGTGATGGAGGCTGAGAAGTCTAAGATCAGGGAGCCACATTTGGTGATGGCCTTGTTTCTGGTGGGGCTCTCTGCAGAGGTGGCACAGGGAGCTGAGCATCCTAGCTCAGGTCTCTCTTCCTCTTCCTATAAAGCCATCAGTCCCACTCCCGTGATAACCCATTCATCCATTAATCCACGACTGGATTAATTCATTCTTCAGGGCAGAGCCCTCACGACCCAATCAGCTCTGAAAGGCCCCATTTCTAAATGCTATCACATTGGGGATTAAGTTTCAGTATGAGTTTTGGAGGGGACATTTAAGCCGTAGAGATGCCAGCAAATTATCTCATTTGTCAGGGGTCATTTTCCTTGTGTGTTTAATGTGGAACTTCAATTGCTTTGCAAAATTTGACTAAGTAAAACTCAGCTGGAAGAATGGTTTCTGTTCTTCAGACCCCCTGCCTGCCATAGTTACAGTTAAATTCGTTATCATTTTAAGTTGCTAAAAACAAAAAATCATTTCCTTCTGTGTCCCCATTAGATAAAGTGAGGTTTTAAAAAAATACTACCTTCAGTGATGAAAGAAAATTGAGTATGCTTTACTTATTAATTTTAGGGGATGTTTTTAACTTCTAAACTGTTTTTGATTTTCTTCTAAATCCCATCACCCCAGGGGTGGTGTGCCTTTGCTTCTTTGTTTCAGGCTTGGCTTTTGTACCTTCCCCACCCCAGGAGAAGCTTCCAAAATCCACAATAAGAGCTTATTCTTAAAGAGCAACCCCTTAGCCTTTTCTACCCCAAATATCAGAGCTTGAACAGTTTGTGTTTGGCAGCAAGCTCAGATATGACAAACTGTTCAGCCACATATTTTGACATTATATACACACTCTGAAATAGATTTGTGGTTTAAATATTTGTTGGATTCCTGCTACTTAAAAAAAAAAAGTTTCTAGCTCAAAGTTTGGTGGAAAAAATTTTGTTTGGTTTCTTAACTTGGCTTTCTCGCTTGTTTTCCTAATTGTTCTTGGGATGCCTTTTTGCGCTGTTGGCCAGCTAACTTCACAGCATTCCCCAGTGTAATGAGACAACATGTGTGCAGGATGACTCTGTTGGATATGCCCTGGCTGATCAGAGAACCTGTTGAGCCGTTTGGGCATATGGAACCCAACGAAAGGTCATCGGAACGCAGCTGATCCCCAGGTGCCAGCCCCTGCCTAGGGATATTTAACAACATTCACTGAGAACTTACTACATAAAGAAAACTCTGCCGACCACCTGTGAGGGGCTGGGAGTGAAAATCCTGACCCTATGATGGTCATAATCTAGGAACAGAAATAAGATATGTACAATCAATAACTGAAAGCAGTACCACATCAAACCTGAACAATGCAACGTAACTTCCGTTTTCCCTCTTCCTTCAGTTTTTGTTTGAGATATAATTCACATACCTTTTTACAGTATACAATTTGGTGGGTTTTAATATGTTCACAAAGTTGTCCAACTATTATCTCTAATTCTAGAACATTTTCATCACCCCCAAAAGAAACACTGTATCCATTAGCAGTCACTTTTGATTTCTCAAAATCCCCCCAGCCCTTGCCAAGCCCTCGCCTACTTTCTGTCTTTATAGGTGTTCCTATTTCGGATGTTTCATCCACATAGAATCGTACAATATGTGACCTTTTGTGTCTGACTTCTTCCCCTTAGCATGATGATTTCAAGATTCATGCATGTTTTAGCCTGTATCAGTATTTTATGCCTTTTCCTTTTCCTTTTCTTTCTTTATCTTTTTCAAGATGGAGTTTCGCTCTTATTGCCCAGGGTGGAGTGCAATGGTACAATCTCAGCTCACAGTAACCTCTGCCTCCTGGGTTCAAGCAATTCTCCTGCTTCAGCCTCCCGAGTAGCTGGGATTATAGGTGCCCACCACCATGCCTAGATAATTTTTTGTATTTTTAGTGGAGACGGGGTTTCACCATGATGGCCAGGCTGGTCTTGAACTCCTGACCTCAGGTGATCCGCCTGCCTCAGCCTCCCAAAGTGCTGGGATTACAGGCATGAGCCACCGCGCCCAGCCTCCTTTTACTCTCAAATGTGATAAATTCTATGGTCCCCTCAGTTCTAGATCACCCCTGATATTGTTCTTCTTCTGAAATTCTATTTTTTTGTTCCTGCAGTTCCTCAGTGGCTGTCCATGGAGCCACCTTTTGTGCTATCCATTTTCAGTCACGGGAGGAGAGGCAGGGGCATTGGAATTTTGAAGGCTCACAGCATACTGCTGTGGATAGTCTCAGGAAGAACAACTACTTTTGCTTACCCAAAGCCATTTACCCCAGTGCTATTTTGTTTCTTTGCTTTCTTCATCAATAGGTACAGGTCCTACATATTACTCGTGTTTGAAAGGCTGGCTTGGAAGTGATCTCTATATTCTTTCTTTGTTTTCTTGCTCAGGTTCTCCCCAGCGAGTCAATGGCAAGGTGAAAGGAAGGATCTTTGTGGGCAGCAGCCAGATCCCCATTGTCTTTGAGAACACTGACCTCCACTCTTACGTAGTAATGAACCACGGGCGGTCCTACACGGCCATCAGCACCATTCCCGAGACCGTTGGATATTCTCTGCTTCCGCTGGCCCCAGTTGGAGGCATCATTGGATGGATGTTTGCAGTGGAGCAGGATGGATTCAAGAATGGGTTCAGCATCACCGGTAATTTATATCCCACATTAAAATTAATGGGACCCACAGTAGTGCCTAGGGGGAGGCCTGGGAATGGATGGAAGGAGAACTCCAAGTCTGCAGACAACTTAGAAGCATGTTGTTGCTCCTTTTTGTCTGTAGACAGGGCATCCTGTAGTTCTGTCCTGGAAATAAAATGATGAGGTAAAATGAACATGTAATATTATCATTAATATATAGCAACTGAGACTGCCTAGAATTGGCTTTTGATTGAGGAGCAATTTAATGGTGGAGATTTAGGCGTTTCTGGCAGAACAAGTAATATCAGCTTGTAGAACCGCACAACCAAAACTGCAGGGCTCACAGTTTGCCTCATTCTATCAGCCTGCCTCTGAATTCCAAAGCAACGTGAAACTGTTCTCAAGCCTGCCTCTGGATTCCAAACCAACCTGGAACTGATCTTCGATATTTCTTCAGGATCTGCTCAGAGAGAAGGAACCTGCCATTTCCAGCTAGTTACTTAAGCCGCATAAACATAATCCTAAGAAGTCTTAGGAAGCCCAAATATCCTTGGAGTTTTCTAGAGACTGCGCCCTACTGAGGAAGTTCAGTCTTTATTGGACGCGTGGGCAGATGGCTTGAGGGATGTTTCCTTGGTGTGGTGGCCTTCTCCTTGCTCTGCCAAGTCCAGCCCAACCTTTGCGTGCTGGAGAGCCATTCCCAGCAACAGCTGGGTTGGAGGAGTCTGTGTCCTTCATCACTGGTCACTTCCAGGACCTGGAGCTTGTTGTGCCTGGGCACAGGTACCCAGCCACTGCCTCCGACGCCCTGGACCTGCCTTCTCCCTGACTGCCTGAGCCAAACTGGAGCCTTAGCCAAGGCTTTATTAGAGGAAACACTGCTGGGAGCAGGGTCTCCATCCAGGCTGCATGCTGGTAACCCCTCCAAAAGTTATGGCATAGAAATACATAAAGTGTGGCCGTCTTAAGAAAGGAGAGGCCATGTATTAGAAAAGGAGCAAGGCTGGGTGCGGTGGCTCATGCCTGTAATCCCAGGACTTTGGGAGGCCAAGGCACGTGGATCACAAGGTCAGGAGATTGAGATCATTCGGGCTAACACAGTGAAACCCCATCTCTATGAAAAATACAAAAAAATTAGCCAGGTGTGGTGGCAGGCACCTGTAGTCCTAGCTATTCAAGAGGCTGAGGCAGGAGAATCGCTTGAACCCAGGAGGCAGAGTTTGCAGAGACCCGAAATCGTGCCACTGCACTCCAGCTTGGGCAACAGAGCGAGACTCTGTATTTAAAAAAAAAAGAAAGAAAGAAAGAAAGAAAAGGATTGAACCTGCTCAAAAGATTTGCTACTTTTTGGCCGAATGTTTTTTCTCCCTAATCCACAGGCATATATATTCTGAGTATTATAACCATATCGATGCCCTCATGCAAACCAGATGCCCTTTTCTTTGCAAATGTAATTGAGCTGCAGCCAAACTCACAGACCCCACTCCTTCCCTGCACAGCTTTTCACACTGTTTTTTTTTTAATATGAGTTAATTTATATTGGTGCTATTTTGTAATATACATGGACTTCAGCTGGGCTGAGGAAGAGGGAGTCTTTGCAAATTCCCAACAACAGCAAATCTCTTGACTACAATGATCCTTCTGGATTTCTCCTGGTCCTGTGTTATCAGTGAGATATTTGCCTGGGACTTGTTTAACTATAAAGCTGAGGTTGTCAAACTTTTTCGGCAAAGGGCCAGACAGTAAATATTTTAAGTTATGCCTAATTATTTTAGGCCATATGGTCTCTGTTGCAACAGCTCAACTCTGTCACTGTGGAGTGAAAAGCAGCCACAGACAGTATATAAATGAATGAGCATGGCTGTGTTCCAATACAACTTTCTGAATGGGCACTGAAATTTAAATTTTATACAATTTTCACATACCATGAAATACTATTCTTCTTTTGATTTTTTTTAACCATTAAAAAATGTAAAGACCTTTCTTTACATTTGTAGAAAATGTAGAAAAATAGGCAGCTGGCAAGATTTAGCCCTGAGGCCATAGTTTGTCAACCCCTGCTGTCATGGGGCAGGTCATTGTGGAAAAGGGAGAAGTACTTTTCCTGCCTGTCTGGGGCTGCCACCTTGCACAGACCAAGAGGAGTTCCCAAGCCGTCATGGTAGCAGGTGATCCTAGGATGGTTTCTGGTACTGGGAATGGTTTGCGCCCTGAGCAACTCACCCATCCGACCAGGAAGTAGCTATTTCAATATTCATCACTGTAACTGGCATTATGGAGCAATTGACAATTTGCAGAACATAGATTGTATCCTTTTTTTTTTTTTTTTTTTTTTTTTTTT